ACTCGACCTAAAATCCCCAACCAATGATGTGCCCCCTCCCCGCTCGACAGCTCGATCGTATCGGAGGAGGGAACTAGGGGGACCAATCAAGATACCCCCGTTGGAGGGCCAAAATCCTCAACCAATGATGTGCCCAGGTTAAGCACAGGGCTCCGCGATACCTATTGGCTGAACGTTCTACCTCCAATTACACATACTAAGTACACATACAATAGCAAAAAAAAACTTGGACCGAGCTTTGAAGTGGCATTTTCAATTATTTTACCTCATTTATTTCCCTTTAAACCAATAATATTAGGAGCATAGCTAGGAATATAATATAATCATATGCTAGCTAATAGTTTGGTAAAAGGGGGGGGGGGCAGTGTAGTGACAAGTGGCGCCACCTACCCACTACAGTCGCCATCCGGGCACTTGATTAGGCGGCAAAGGGTCGCGACGCGGCTGCGGCGCGTCACGACGCGGCGATCAGCTGTTTCCGGCCTAATTTGGCCATTTTCTCCCTAATTTTCACGGCATTTTTCTATTTTTCGAAAGGTAAGTTGTTTATTGTCTTTATGAAGTACACTAGGACGTGGAGTCTTTTTTTTGTTTTCTGCAATAGTGTTTTTGCGATTTTTTCAGGTATTTGTTCAATTGTCTGCTTAACTGTTTAATTGTACGCAAAAATCAGAGGAATCTCAATCATAATTCACCTTGTGAAGACAAGGAACAACTAATCTTGAGAAAAGCAGCCAAAACAGTGTAAATTAGGGAGAAAATGGCTAAAATAGGCTGGAAACAGCTGATCGCCGCGCTCGTGACACGCCGCAGCCGCGTCGCGACCCTTGGCCGCCTAATCAAGTGCCCGGATGATTACTGTACACGCGCGTAGTCTGGGGGTAAATTTCGGACTGGCTCCGGCCTGAACCGGTCAATCTCTGTACTTTGCGCTAAAAATCCATGTACACGAAATATGACCAACCTCTGTGTCTCTGTCACTGGTTCCAGAATATTGACGTGAGACCCGTGTGTCAATGTTGGGCTACAATACAATCAAATATTGAACTTGTTCCGATTTAATTTAAGTTAATTTCATCATAAAACGTTTTGACGCTGTTCGGCGTGGTGGGGAGGAGGGGGGAAGGCATCAGCGAAACTCACCATAACATCGTCCTATCGGGCAATGTCATCACCACACTTTAATACAGAGTTCAAATGTTGAAGTTACCTTAATATAGTGGTGATACAAGTTTCATTTTTTTGCGCCAACGCGACAGAGAGCGATCAATTGCAGTCAGCAATTTTGCGGTTTAGGTGAAACTATAGCTGTCATTTGTTTATCGGGCATTGATGCGGTCCTAGGCCAACTATAAAACTGTATAGCGACGGGGAATTCTTTTCTCATAAACTACATATAGTGTCTAGAAATAGACAACATTCGGCTGCGTTCATACTTTGCGGCTTGCGTCCACTAGCGTTCCGAGCGTTCCGCAGCGTCAGCGATTGCGTAAGTATAGATATCGATCTAGCGCTTGCCAGTGTCTACCAGCGACTGGAGATAAAGAGTATGGGGAAGTAGGAGGGGTAGGAGGGTGACCAACAGTTGGATCGTTGAAGTGCGGCGTGTACGACCGCACATTACAACTAAACGACACCGTAAATAAATAAAATAATTCTGTGCTTTAGCAGTTGTGCAGTGCGGCTGTACACGCTCCGCTATTTCACGACGGCTAATCCAATGTCAGCTACCCTCCTGCTTCCCCCATACTCTCTACTTCGCTGGTGAACGCTGGTGGGCACTAGCAGCGCGATCGATCTCTATAATTTCCTAGCCTCCAGGACGCTGGCAGACGCTGATAGACGCTAAATCGATATCTACACCTTCCTAGTCGCAAACGCTGTCGAAGGCTTGGGACGCTAGTGGATGCTAGTGGACGCTGCCGCAATGTATGAAGGCACCCTTACCAAAGAAATGTTAGAGGCGAAGCCTTGGAAGGTTCTGGATTAGGTGAAACAGCTTCCATGAACAGGGAAAACCATTTCTCCACGAAGCATTCGGATCTACCACCCACCCCAGTAGCTCATTCCCCATATGCCTAGGCAACACCCAATCTCCGGGCTCACAGTCATACTTGCACTTTCCGAAGCGGAATTCTAAGCGTCAACAGGAATGGTTCTGAATGCCATGAAACGTTCTGCCCTTATCCCACCCGCCAAGCCGAACAGTGCCAACATTGTGTGAACTCTGTAATTCCGACCTAATTCCGTACCTGGACTCTGACTGGTAATGCAGGTTTAGAGACGTTTTTTGCCGAATTTCGTGGCGATACACTTCGTATACTCAAACAAACCAAGTACGTTATAATAGAGACATATGACTGTAGGTATGAGTAATGGATAATATGCAGTACCTTGCAGGGTTTTTCTGAAGTGTTGAATTTGGCAACCATTGGAGAATCAGGGTGACAC